TTTATTTGATTGATAGGGTTTAGTGGCACCATTGGTTTGTAGACAACAGTTGTACAATGCACTTGGGTTGAATTTAGATGTGATATTGAGAACATGAACCCTTGCCAGTTGGGTGGATTAGAACTCAGTGTACTCAAATACAACCATAAGGAATCAATTAACTCATACTGGTGAATTGAAAGCTGCATTTTTTTCAAGACATTTAAACTTCACTTCTGATGTTGAGGATGCAACCGGTGCCATGTAAGACTTAATGATCTGACCAAAATCACCAGCCTTGCAACACTTTGCTCTTTTCACTGGATTTTCTTTGCTTTGGGGTGCACCTGAATTTTGACATGTGATAATATCCATAATATGAATAGAGTCATAGCATGTGATGGTGTCTTCTTTATAGTCAAAATTATCAACCACTCATTAACAAAATCCACCACCAATATTCTTTTGATCAGTGCCAGCTTGTAGGTCAGTGGTTGATGTGCTGATTATTGCTAATCTTTGAAACACCATCACCTGCTGATAGCTTTTTGAAAGCACAAGTAATGAGAGCACATGAAGGAGCATATGTGATCTTGTTGTTTGATGAATAAAGAGACCCACTGAAAGTAAAAGTGGTGAGCAGTAATATTGTTTTCCAGCAGCTTGCATTATTGGGTGGCTCAGGGCTACAATGGTCAGCTTCTTTTTATGAGCAGCATATTCACTGTGAGGGACAGAAAACATAGATTATATCAATTCAGCAAGAAGTAGTGGAACACCAGGTTGCAACTTTTCAAGATCAATGTCATTTGGATCAGGATAAGTATCTATGGGAATTTCCAGGATTTTCAGTCATTCTTCAAAGCAGTACTAATTTCCTTAGCAAGAGTGGTGTTTGGATCAGTACTTGAATCACTAGTCGAACTCAAGTATGAATCTTATAATACTGATGATGCTCTGTTTGTGAATGTTAGAATATTGCAAGTACCTTCTCTTCCAATGATCATGATTCTGTCACCAAACTGACCCAATAAACATCATTTTAAATATTTTACGCTGTATGCAGGAATATTCTCTGGTAGATAAGATTCTAATTGTTCTTTTAATTTGAATATTGTGAATTGATTACACAATTGCACTATTAGCCATGTACATAGGTCATTGAAAGTTGTATCATTCAAAGAGTTGAGATTGAGCTGATTTTGGGGTATGTTGTCACTATTATCAAGTAAAATATGGTGAATCATTTTCTTTGGATAACATTTATTCCTGAAAATATTCAAAAGATATTTTAAATTCTTTATCTAGGTAAAACAAGGAGTATATACTAGTAGCTTTAGATGGTAATACTGTAACAGTCTCAGTTTTGACAGCTATTGTATGACATGAATGAAAAATTTAGATATTTAATCGTTTGAGTTTCTTTCCAATAAATGGTACTGGTAAACTTTTATAAACATGTGTCCTTGTGAACCAGAACATCAAGGAATAGAAGAGTGTTATTGACTTCAAGTTCTATGGAAAATTCAATTTTTTCAAGTATGCTGTTCAGATGAGCACGAAAGGTTTTGAATTCTTCAGCTCCATGGGTCCACAAAATATATGTATTATCAACCAGCATATCTTACCCTTTTATGAGTTTGATACAGTTATGATGTTAAAACGATGTGTTAAAAATGCTGCCTTAAATGTTCTTGCTTCTACCTGAAATAAAGGTGAACCCATTGGAGCACTGTCTAACATGTTGTTAAACCTGCCATTCTAATGGAAGTAATTTGCATCAAAACAGATGTCCAACAATTTCATGATGTTCTTGTTGGAAGTGATATGTCATCACTCAATTGTTTGTTTATTATTTCCATGGTATCCTTAGCAGGCATCTTGATGAAAAGTTAAACTATGTTGGAGCTAATTATAGTATTGTCTTTGGATATTATTTGGTCAAAAATATGTTAATGAATTCTTGTGAGTTTTTAATCGAATAAGACAGATCTATTGTCAGAGGGTTTAGCATGCTAGAAATAAATTTGACTGTTTTGTAAGCTGCTGAATCTGTGTAAGATACGATAGGTCACATGGGTATGTTAGGCAAACCATAAAGCTGTGAAGAGAGATTGAACAGTGTACAGAGAATCTTTTGTACAGTGTTATGCTTATTTCCTTTTAATTTGTCATGTTCCAAAGTTCTTTAGCTAGTTATTTTTCTTTACGTTGAGTTGGATCCAAAGATAGTCTTTAGTAAATTGTGTCTGTTAACAATTCTTCTATATTTTGCTCATAGTCACATCAGTTTAAGAGGATTGTAGCATTCCCCTTATCAGCAGGTAGTATATAGTTCCAATCTTTCTTTAAATTACATATAGCTTCATGCTCCTCTTTAGTTAGTTTGCTTCAAGGTTTTGTAGTAAAGGAGTTCAAGGCTTCTTGAACTTGGAAGCACAATTCATTAGCATTTGAGACCTAATTTACCAGCAACATCTTGAATGGAAGCATTGATGTCAGTGTAGGATACTTGTTTTCAAGTAGGAACAAAATTAAGTACAACAGATAGTACACTTATTTCATTATTATTAAGATATTTGTCGCTTATGTTTATGCTTATTTATTTTCATTTTCTTGTCCATGTCACATTTAGATAACAGTAGCAGTTTTTAAACTTGCTAACTTGTCTATGTTTGATCTTGTGGTATTCTCGATCAGTACTTGTGATAGCTTTGTAATCTTGAACAGTTACAATAAATAAACATGAGTAAGAACTGTGCTATAAACACATCAGCAGTAGCTTAAATAAATCAATATTTAAATATTCATTCATGTCATATTATAACTGTCAAAATTGGGATTATTAAAACACTAAAATCCAGAGCTATGAGTGTATGATCCTTGTTTTACTTAGATGAAAAACTTAAAAAAACATTTTGGGAATATTTTCAGGAATAACAGTTACCCAACGAAAACAATTCACTGTATATTATACGGTTTACTTGTCTCCACTACTAATGAACCACAATCGACAATCACAATGAAAATGAAAAAGCATTTCTTCCAATATATACTTGGCCTAGGGGAAAAACTTTAGAGGATAATAAATAAAATTAACATCATTGTAGTTTTCTTAAGTCCTCCTACACTACCTGACTGTATTATGAAAGTAAAATCCCTAGTTTCCAGTCCTTTCACAAAGAACATGGTTTATAGCACTTGGTGTGAGTGTATTAAACAATACATTGGGGAGACACAACACTTGTTACAGATAAGGTTCAAAGAACACCAAAGAGATATTAAGAACTGTGCTATAAACACATCAGCTATACCTTTTTACATTATGGAAAATTACTTTTATTTTTACATTTTTTAAGTCTAAGAAAGAGAAGAAAACACAAAACTGAGAAAAAATCAAAGAAGCTGTTGCCATCCAAGCACAAAGATGGTAGGGAACCACCAGTTAGTATTAATCAAAATAACAACCAACAACTACTCAATAGTGCAAGAACACCATTTATCAAAGACAAAATATATTATTTGTTGTGGATTTGATGTAAAATTAAACCTATAATTCTACGATATATTATTTGAAGTATGAACAATGCATTTTTCTATATAATACTTATAATTGTATTTTCCTTACATTTATTATATATTGAAGTAATAGACTTATCATAAATATTGTTAATCAACAGCATGTATAAGATTTTTATACTGATATACAACTACAAAACCGAGGTTTTTGAATATTCAAATTATGTAAAAGCTTAAACCTTGGACAGTCAATTCTATAGAGTTAATAACTTTAATACCAGATGTCAGTTATTGTTATGATTGTTTCCTTAGGCACCTGTTTTAGAGCAGTGTTCCACAGATAAATGAATCTGTATTACTCATTTTATTGTTGCCTGATGAAGGCTCTGGTAAGAATGGCAAAAGGTTGCAAATAACAGTAATTTAATATAAAGAAATGTCTGTATTGATTTACCTACTTATGAATCTTAAAAAACAGTAATGGATTTAGGAAACTTTTTAACTTTTATCTTTTTTGGAAACAAAATTAAATAGGTTAGATAAAGAAGAATTAGACTTTACTTCATAACCACTTCATCAGTGTGATAATTCAAGATGCTATTAGGCTTGGAATGCAATTATTTTTGAAAACATTGTTAAACTATATGTTTTATTTACATTTTAGATCAACATTTAAGAGCATTTAACCATCTCTTTTTAGAGGAATATTGATAAAATGAAACCACATCAAAACTACCATATAAACACAAATTTTCAATCTTTTATTAATCATAAAAGCTAAAATTTATGAATGACAGTACATTCTTATCTGTAACATTTTTAATTAACCAAAAATTATGTAATTTTATGATTATAAGTTTCTTTATTGGAAACTGTCAGTCTAACAGATCAGCCATCTTTATGTACTTCAAAACATGTTATATAATTACCAGTAACAATATGATGCTAGTATATTACAATACTTTATCTTGATACATTTTTAAAGCTTTTACAATTAATTGTAATTTGATTATTCTTTTAAACTTAAACTATTTTTTAAATATGAAATGTTCGTAATGTCTGGAAATCAAATCTACTTTTAAAAAAGAATACATCCAAACTACCAAAAAGCCAATAGGAAAGGGTTACATGCAACTTGTTTGTTCATTATTAAAAATTTTGAAAATTGACTAGTAGTTGTTGGAACATGTTCCACTAAATAACCAAAATAGGTTAAATGTAAGTTTTGGCCTAAAGCTACATTACACAGTGAATATACCCTGTTTACAAAACTAAATAATATATATATTTCCAATTAATGCTGTTAAGAAATCTGGTAGAAAATGAAATTATCAAGAAAAGTAATAACTCATGTTGCTAGTGTATAATTATATGAAAGAAAAGAAAAAATACTTTGTTAATATAAATATACATTGTCCATATAAAAGACAGTAGTTAGGTTACATCATGGTTAAACTTTTTAAGGTTATGGCTGTTTGAAAATATTTATTGTTTATTTTCAGCCATGTGAATCAGAAAACAACATATACTGATCCAAGGTTAGCATTCTCTGTAGAAGAGAAGGATTCTGTGGATGATTTCAGACAGCGATTTGATGGAAGCAGTACTGCTTTACAAGTTTTACATGGACGAGACTTGAGTGGAAAAGTTGCTATAGTGACAGGTAGTAACAGTGGAATTGGTGAGTTCAGTTATAAAGATAATCACAATTCTTATGCTAATGTTTGTTATTAAAAATTAAGGACTTGATATATAGATCAAAATATCTACCATAAAAAATAAGGTAGGAGCTGACCTATTTTACTCTTTATGTCACTAGTTTTTAGAATCATAGTAAATAAATATTTTAATTAACATATTTGATTTTTACCTATTAAAGTGTTTACCGCCAGTTTAGCTGATATGCTATTTTATAAAAAAGTTGGGTTTAATATATAAAATTCATGAAGTTAAAAACAAACCGATTTAATCAGACAATAATGAAATGCATTTTAACTCTACGGAAATGGCCCCTTGTGTTTTGCAAGATCTTGTAACATCCTGAAAGTGTGAAACTATATATATTATTATAAGTCTGATTTTACTTAATGTATCATTACAAAGTTTGGTAAGCTTTTAGTCAATACTACAAGTATGTTGTACATAAAAATCAGAATATTTGATAAAGTATTTGTTCTAAAGATTTGTCTCTGAATTTATTTTAGCAAGCCTGACTTTGACTAGTCTGAGTGCAAGGTTGTTTTATGTTAAGGTTAAAAATGCTTGTTTAGTCTTACAATTTTCAAACTTCAATGATATTGAATCTTAATTAATATTTACATTTTTTTTTTCTAGGTAAACTTTATTTGTTTATTTCTATACCCTAATACCAGGGCACGTAATTAAGAAAAAATTCTACCAGACAAGGGGTCAGACAGAAAAAAATATTTGCCAGACCCTTACTTTTCTGTGATAATTCATGTTTTAATTTGTTTGTAAATGACATAGTGTGTGATTTAAATTTATTATATGATATAATTTAACAAACTAATCATTTGTGTGTCAGTGAAACTCTTTATTTATGTTCTATAAAACAATAAACTAAAAGGATTATCACAATTGATTATCCAAAGTTAACAGTCATCATAATGAAAATTATCTGAGAATAGCTTCCTCAGTTTCAACTATTTGTATTCAATAAAATCAAATAATTATCAGTTTTAATTATCAAAAGGTAACAGTCGTCATAATCAAAATAATTTGAGACTGGCTTCTTCACGAGCTTCTGTCGTATCATCATCTATCTTACTTTCTGCTGTTGTATCATCCAAGTCACACTTCTCTTCTAGAGCAATTAATGCCTCATCTTCAAAGTTACATACATATGCTTTTTGTATTTTCTTTCTTGGTCCATATATGGAGCTGTTGAAGGGCACTTTGATCTGGTGCCAGCTGATCTCCATAGGTGGAAGGCTGGTTCAGGATTATACTCTTTTACACTTGTTGTATGTAATAGGGTGATGAAAAATAGAAAATGAACAAATTGGAGTGTACAAGTGTCATGTGATAAAAGTGAAGATTGAGAATTTATTTGAATATTTCCTTTTGAAATTCAAATATTAAAACTCAAATAATATGAAAATTTAATTTATAAACTGTTTTGATGCCAAGTTTATTGATATACATTGATAATAAAGTAGTTTAATTAAATTTTGAATGTAATTGTAAAAGATTGCGACATGAGCACTTTGACCAACCAATGCTGAGAAGTTTAATAAGTTACTGAACTTAATAAATTGTATTGTGAAAGCTTATTGTAGAGTATTGTCAGTACTACACAATAATTCATTTTTCCATTTTAAGTCCATTAAACAATTGATTTTCAAGCATTATTTTTTGTAAATTTCCAACACTTAGTTTACTTGCAATTTTTGATTTTACAGTAGTCTCAGTGATTGGAGTATGATGTGTTTGGTAAACCATTATATACATGTTCTTCCATGATCTGGCTTATGCTCATTTTTCAACTTATAGAATTTTCCTCAATTATACAACTGAGATGTGTTTCTAAAGTTGTAATATATGTGACCTGATTTACTGCACCTGTATTTTTCAAACTGTAATTTTCTTTTAACTTAGTAAGATATTCATGTTTTTCATCTGCAGTATTTTTGTCAGTGATCTGATTTGGGTGTTTCCCCTGTGTGTTTTTTAAACCATTAACTGCTCATGCTTCAATGTATAATACTTGGTTTATGACTTGGTTCTGTTCTGTTCTTAATCTAATACAAATATTACTCATTGAGAAACACAGCTTAACCACATCACTAGAATAGATTATTAATATATAGAGCTGGGCAATTGGTAAAGTTTGGTAATTAATTAATCAATCACTGGGCTCGTGGGACATGAATAGTTAGAATAATTGAAAATAGTAATAATCAGAAACACCAATTTTGATTATTTTTGTCAATCATGGCACTAATCAATTAAACTGAACAACTATGAATTACTTGAACCTTGTCTCCCTCGGACTTAGGATCTTTATGCTTTTTCATAACTTTATCTCAATATTCTTTTATGTGAATGTGGTCTGATCCTGTTATTTCTGTGAAGTTTTCCCACATCCAGTGGCCCCGACTCCGTTAGACTCTTACCACACTCCTCAGTTACCTTTCCTCCATTCTTCTCTTTTCTGCAGTTATCCACAGCTCCACAACAGAATTTGGGAGTACACTGGATCCCTTGTAATTGGCATGCTAATCCTCCTCAGTTTTTCACTTCCAACAAGGCTCCTCTATTATTTGAATTCTGGTTAGGAACACATTACCTCATGGGTGCCTACCAACATCCTACTTATGTGCCCAATGATTGGTGTATTTTTACTTAGGTTAAGTAAAAATTCAATGGCGGTGACTACACAACAACACTCCTCCATTTTGTTTGGGGTTTTTCTCACCTATTGCTGAAGCCCATGCTGCCAACAGTACAGGCAACTATTTCATGGATTTTGGCAAGGTGGGAAAATGTTGACTGGGTGTGCTCCAGCAGGACATTTTCACCTCAGATCCATGTTGTTTGGGGGTCTTGTTAGAAGGCAGAAGGTTTGTTTTTTCCAATACTCACCCACTTCCATTATCCAATTTTCTATTTCCTCTCTCCTCCCCCCCCCCCCCCCCCCCCCCCCC